TGCCAGCGGAAGAGTTAATACGAGTGACTGAAATAAACGAAGGGTAGGTTAGAAATTTCTCTATGCCAACAGAACAGATCTCGTTTTGTGCAGTCACCACGATAGATTTTTTCGCGGATAACAAGAGGCGTAACAAAGTAGTGCCAACGTTTTGAATGCACCTCGCCCAACGGTCAATAATGTTGTATTGATCGAACCGTTGTAATATTTTTCATAGTGTTAAAAACAATTTATGCTTAAAGCCCATCTGAAAAAATAGCTATTAATGGTTTGCACTGCCATTCTTCAAATTTAGTCCAAATGTTTGATTACTTGCGTGATTGCTGTTGCAGTTGTGGAACAAGGAAAAAGATACATAAAGGATCAGAATCTGAACCAGAAACAAAGTTCTCCGGTTATTATCGAGTGGCATTTGACGTTTCCCACCTCTTGAAAGGTTCCCCGTAAATCCGGAAGTTCACCACAAAACTGCAACCCAAAATAGCTGAACTGCCTGTTTCCAACGCATGAAATATTCGCGGACACACCAGATCCTTATGCAAGTATCCATCCTACACCTAGACTGTCCAGAAGTCTACAAGACTCTTCCTTGAAAAGCCATTTATTGTCCTCTTACGATTTTATAGCAGGCTCGTTCCAATGCATGAAATATCCGCGGGCACACCAGATCTTTATGCAAGTATCCATTCAACACCTGGACTATCCAGAAGTTTATAAAACCCTTCTTTGAAAAGCCATTTACTATCCTCTTACGATTTTATAGCAGGCTCGTTAGATAGCCTGTTTCATTGTTCAATGCAGTTATCCAAAGGCGGTTGCACAACGTTGCTAATTTGTTTAAAAAACACTTTTTTCCCCTTCGTATCGAAATGTGCTTCTAAGGCTTCGGTCACACGCTTAGGAAAACTGGAGTACAATGAAACTTTGAAGTTAAAACATGTCACAAAGCATGCGCTTCAAAGTTTTTGCATGCAACCAGCCAACGGCTGGCAATGTATAATAATAAGTCGGTCGTTGTTTTGGTTGTACTCATTTCATCTGTGCAAAGTGGGTTGATACCTAAACCGCCGAATCTGGACGTACACAGCGACTAACCCAAATATGATGATTAGGCACTTACATTCCTGACTCTGCTGCACACAATCAAAACAATGTGTTTCGGAATCAGCATCACCAACATCGACAGCATGACATCAGTGTCTAACACCGATGTTTCACTGCCGTAATATATCGGTATACTGATGATCGGTTTCGACTAGTAATATATTTGGTAGGTTGAAAAGTTCATGGAACTGGATGAAAGGTATTCAAAAGTTCCCGCATTTGAATGGGTTGTCGTAGACAAAACTGTTCTACGATGTTTTTGGGCTATACGGATTACACTGATTTCACTTGCCGAAAGAAATCTTTGCTAAGAATTCCCAAATCCCTTCAACTGACTCGCAGTTTGAAAGAGTATCAGTTGACATGAACAGTTTTCTGCACTTACAGGAAAGTGAACTTAATTTTTTTTATGTAGATTACTAGAAAATCTTTCAAAAGGTCCATAAATAAAGGATTCCCTCATTGATACCCCATGTGCTGAGTTTCGGATTGGACATGCCTGGTTACATGCCTGGTTACAACCGACCATTAGCAAAACTCCAAAAGATAAAGTAAATATCCTTGGTCTTTCGTGCACGCTCAGTACCATGCTATCTGAAGTGACTGAAGAGTTCACCGCCTGACAACTCATGTATAACACTGCTTAGATGCAGCGTATTTGACCATCTGGTCAATTTATTGAACGTAGGGTCTCAAAACAAGTTTTTAAAAATAGGTTGGATTTTTTTACAATGACATCAGTATGGTCCTCTGCACAATTTCAACCAGTGGCATATCACAAGTCCAGAATGACGAGTCTGCACGTGTAAATACGGAAAAA